CCTTGAAATATTAACGTTAGACCAGAGCGGTGAAATTTCGGTTAACTGCGACTGCCACAACTGTTCAGTGCGAAGGTCAACTTTGAACTGAGCTAGAGTTTTATGTACAGAAATGTGATCTTTGGTATTTCAGCATGAGGTGGGGGGTACAGTCCTCTACAAAATCCAATAGTCACATTTCATAAAATCAAAAATTTTTTTTTTACTTTTGGCCACGTTTTCGGGATTCTGGCCCGCGCTGTACGGTAGCAAACGCTCTTCGTATTCGTTCTTCTAATTCGTCTTGCGTTTCTATGCGGTTAAAATAAATTTTTTCTTTCTGCGCACCCCACAAGAAAAAATCACAAGGATTCAAATCTGGTGATCTTAGTGGCCATTGCCAGAAAGGTGCTCCACGACCCATCCAATTATTTCCATACGTATTATTTAAGTATTCTCGGACAGGTGCTGTTATAGTTAAAACAATAAAATTAATAATTAATTAAAATTAAATAATTAATTAAAACAATTTTAGAACCAGTAATTAATGATATTTATAAAAAATTTCAATTAGAAAATTGAATTAATATAAAAATTATTTATGCGAAATAAAAATCGATTGAAAAGTATATTTGAATAAATAAAAAATTGTTGTTATTGCATTGATTTACGGTATTTTATGCACTTTTTAGTCAAACATAATTTTAATCTACGAAAAACAATATTTATCCGTATAAAATAAAACTTCTTTAAAACAAAAAATTGCGAAAATACAAACATTAAAATAATAGCAAAGCGTCATGTGTTTATTAAAAATCAGAAGTTTAAAAACTCTCAGAAGCTAGTATTTTATGATATAAAAAACATATTGCAAACTAATACTAATAGTTGTAAATTCTTTATAAGTTGTACTAAAAAAAATTAAACTTTGCATTAATTTGTTATTTAATTGAGACCTGAAAATTTTTATTAAAACAAATTATGTTTTCAAATATGTTTAATAATTTATAATAATTGTAACCTGCATTGTACGCTAGACATCCATCATGCATAAAAATGATGTTACGTCGAAATAGCGGCATATCGTCGATAGCAGCGGAAGGAAAAAGTAAATTTGGCAACTCATTACGCAAAAAGTCCAGATAATTTAAACCATTTAATTTTTCTGGCAAGAATACTGGTCCAATCTAAGGATAATTATTTGAAATTCATCATAAATAAATACACATTATGGCTTTATAGAAATTTTTTATATTGACAAAAGCAGAAGTAAAAAAAACGGAATGTTTACAAATGCTAAAATAGTTATCTAAAGGTGCCTTTACATAGGAGCGTCGAGCGTCGAGCGTCGAAAGGTATGAGCATGCGTAGTGATGCCTAGTGATTTGATGCTGAAACGCAGGATCAATTAGAGCAGTCAGTTGATTATTACTGTCATTTAAATTGCGAAACATTAAAAAAATGTCGATTAATTATCGTTATCATCAATGGTTGTTAGAATGCAATAGCATTATCAATCATGAATATAACGAACAAAGAAAAGTTGAATTAATTGCAGCGATACCAGCAATAGTCAATATAATAAATGCAAACAATAAAAAGAAGAGGAAATTCTGGGTGTCAAAAATATTTGCCGAAAGGCAGAGACACGGATTGTATCACGCAACATTGCCCAATGTAAGGCTGGAAGATCTGCGTTTTAGAAATTTTACAAGAATGACTACGATATAATTGGAAGATTTGTTGTTAATAGTAGGACATGATTTAAAGAAACTTTATGTTGTGCGTGAACCTATAAATGAAGAGCAACGTTTATTAGTTACTTTAAGGCATGTATACTTGTAAACTTAAACTATATTATTGTAATAATGTGTGATAACAAAAAATCTCTCTGACAATGTAAAATAGCAAAGTATATATTATATATTTCTTATACTCATTAATAGATATCTCGCCTCAGGAGACAGTATGACATCTTTGTCATATCAATTTTTAATATCTGTAAGTAGTATTTCAAATATTATACGTGAAACATGTTCTGTCTTATGGGAGCGTTTATATCCTATTATACTTGCACAATGTGACACAAATGACTGGAAAGAAATTGCAAATGACTTTGATAATAAATGGCAATTCCCTCATTGTATTGGTGCAATTGATGGAAAACACGTCATTATTCAAGTAATTCTTAAAATGACAAAAATATGTAAATGAATATATATATAACTCAAACTGAAGCAGTTTAATTTTACTTAATATTATTTCAGTGTCCTGACAACGCAGGATCAGAATATTATAATTATAAAGACAGTCACAGCATTATTTTACTCGCAATAAGTGATGCAAATTACATCATACGCTGTGTAGACATTGATGCTCCTGGAAGACAGGGTGATGCAGGCGTTTTTAAGAATAGTGCTGTGGGCTTATTATTAGAAAGAAAAGAATTAAATATTCCACCTCCTGAAGCACTATATGACAACGGTCCAATTTTGCCATATGTATTGGTAGGAGACGAGGCATTTCCTTTAACAGAATATATGATGCGACCATATCCAGGAAGAAATGGAATGACATTAGAGAAACGGATATACAATTATCGTTTATCTCGAGCTCGTCGAACAGTCGAAAATGTGTTCGGTATCTTAGCTAATCAATGGCGCCTTCTAAGACGACCAATTATAGCGAACATTTCAAAGGCAATAAAAATGGTTCAAGCAATAATTTGTCTTCATAATTGGCTGAGAAAGCGTGATGTTGAGCGAGAAACGTATATAACACAGGATCTTGCAGATCGATCTGTATTAGACGGAGACATTGAAGATGGCTCTTGGAGAAACAATGTTAACGATTATCAAGGATTTATGGATATAAGATGTACTCAAGCGAGAGCATATTCGTTACGCGCAGCTCACATTTGAGAAGAATTTTGCAGATATTTCAATGAAGAAGGAGAAGTAGGTTGGCAAAACATTCAAATATACAAATGAAGCAAATGTAAATGTATTATATAATGTATTATGTAAATGTATTATATCATTTGTACTTTTGAATCAGCCTAAAGGTAATATTGCGGTAACTGATGTGTACGGGTTGTACGTAAGTTGAATTATCGGGCGTGTGCCCGTCGTATGTTGTCGTGAATGAGTGCTTCACGAATATACGACCGAGAATGTTTCCTCTCACTTGCTTATATTTATTGAAAAACTCAGAAGGTAGTGACCGCACTCGAGATACAAAGTATAAATGCTTTAATGAAATACAGCGTATAATGGTATACAATAGCGGTTAAGTCGGCCGCACGTTGTGTCTCCCTCGTTGTCTCTG